CACCCATAAACATTCGGCTCTGCCTAATATAACGAACACGAGAGCCGATCCGAGTTTAAGACTCTGCAGGAGCTCAGAGTGGCTGCGCTGATGAGTCTGACAGTAAGAAGAACACCGCGCTGAAAAGCTCTGAGCCTGTTTATCATGATAAATTGTGGCTCTGTATGCTTTTCTGAGTGTTTGAGTACGAGCAGCACTTACAAAAGACGGATTTAGACCCATTATAGACTGTAAACAACAACACAGTGCTTTGTAGCAAGTAGCTGATTGGATGGCAGCCTGTTATGACATCATATTCATTAGTGCTTTGCAACATGCAACGCTGCTGTTATCCAACACTGTATTCTTCTCCACCTGGGATACCATAGCAATCACGTAGCAACACCCTAGCAACCACCTGGGATGCAATAGCAATCACCTATAGTAACACTCTAGCATCCACCTGGGATTAGATTGAAGGAGAATGTGCTCCATATCGTTCTATGTAGAAAAATGGTTCGATGTAGCACCAAAAAGGGTTCTTCTGTTGCAGGCTATATTGGTGCTATATAGAATTGTATACAGCATTCTCCTTCAATCTATAGAAACATTTGACCATGCAGAGAACCATTTAGGAAAGAAATGATTCTTTGAGCGTTGATGGTTCTATAGATCCACCGTCTTTACTAAAGAACCCTTGAAGAACCATCTTGAGTGCACCAAACGTGATAAATTCACGAAGTGAAGGGTTTATTCTGTAAAAAGAGTAAAGTGTGAAATATTTATCAAAACTTTTTCTTTTTAACTGCAACCAAATTGGTTCTATATAACAGGAAACAGTGATTCCAAATTTCGGGACGGTGTTCTGTGTTCAGCCTTGTTGAATCTTTTGCTGGAGAACACAGAACCGTAATCTCAGATCATTTGCTTCTCTTTGCAGTTCAGGGCAGAATAGAAGACTCATGACTCACAAGTGCAAATTTTGTGCACCAAAATAAAACAGCCACACGGTTCCGCTGAACAGCAGTTCTAGAAAAGTTCATCAGAAAAAGTAGAGAACATTCCAGACTGCCAGATCCTGAGACCAGATTGGTGTGGTTGGCCGGTGACATGCAGGATAAAGCCCACAGCGCAGGAGTTCCCCAACAAAAACAAACACGCTGAGGGGAATATAAAGGTTTGGTTGACGTGCCGTGATTTTTGGGAACTCTCTAGAACGTTCATCGCGCTGGGTCATTTGGCCTGGCAGCTCTTTTCCTCAGCGCTGCAGCCAGTTTTCACCACTGGAACATTCATGGTTGTTGAGTCGATGCATTTTTGAGTTTGAGAAGCGACAGTGGCCCAGAGAGTCCAGCAGCCCAGAGAGTCCAGCAGCCCAGAGAGTCCAGCGGTCCAGAGAGTGACACTAGTTAGGTTCCAATCCGTGTGTTTGTATTTGCATCTGGATATATTGAACAAAAAAGACTCAGCTGTAGAATAAAGTTGCCAAAATTCACATTAAAGTTTGCACGTTTGCCTGAGATGAATCAGATGTTTGGCTGATAAAATGAATTATGATTAATTCTGATGAATATTTTTTAATAAATGCAGTATTCTGACCGCCTGGATCTGTTAGAGAGAGTTTAAAGCTCTGCTGCTGGTTTCTAAAGCTCTAAATGACCTTAAAGCTCCTGACCGTCTGTTTATGATCTCAGATCTGCAGATTCTGACCTTCTGAACTCCTTCAGTAAAACAGAAAACGTGGAGAGACTCTTTCAGTTATTCTGCTTCTAAACTGTGGAGCTCAGTTCAGCTTTTATTAGACAGTCGAGCTCAGAGCTCACTTTTAATAAACATCTGAAAACGCAGCTCTTTAACTCGGAGCTTCAGTAAAACTCTATGGCTCTTTGATGTTCATCTCTCTAATCTGATCTGATCATCGTTTTGTCTGATACTCTCCTGTCTCTAAAGCACTCTGAGCTGCCACCAGTATGAAAATACAAATTGAGTGAAATGAATAAAGTGCAGGTATTTTATTGCAGTATCTCAGCATCAACCAGACAGAGTTCAGTACACACATCAAATTTCAGTCAAATCTAAACATCCGTCTGATTATGACAGTCAGTTCCAGTGTAGATAGAGAAATGAATAGGTTAATATAGAAACAGATGGATGGGTGATGAAAAGATAGTATTGAGAGATGGATGGATGGATAGACATGGATAGAGACTGATCAATAGGAAGATAGATGGATAGAGATGATCTGATGAATAGAAGTGGAGTGGATAGAAAGATGAATGGATGGATAAAGATTAATAGAGAGGAGTGGATAGAAAGATGAATGGGTAGTAGATTGAAGGATGGATGGATGGAGGTGTGGATGGATACAGGCAGAATGTGCAGTCAGATTTCTGTCAAAATCAGATATTTTAAAAAATAAATAAACACACATGAAGTGACATCACAGACCACGTGGTCCGGACCGTGGGCTGTGATAGGCCGCTTTTCCGCTGCGTGGTACTGGCCCGACTCGACTCGACTCTACTTTTTCCACTAGACAAATGTGGTACGTAGTACCGGGTGCTGTTTTTAGTACCACCTCCGTTGAGGTTCAAAGTTAGCTGAGCTGATACCAAAAGGTGATGTAAAAACGCTGCAGGCTGCTGATTGGTCAGAGAGAATCACTAAACACATATGCTAGCGTTAGCTACCAGGTTAGCGTAGCCTCTCTGAGAATCGCCTCGTCGTCTGGACTCTAGTTTTTTCCAGACTCTCCTGGTTTGGTCAGCAGTGTTTTCCCTCGCTGCCTCTTCTGAACACAGTTTGTCTCCTTCACGTCACAGCAGTGTCCTGCGGCGTGGCTATGACAACCAGCTACATTGAGGGGGCGCTATATCTGCAGTGGACAACGAAGTAGCTGGTACCAAAAGCGAGTCGAGTCGAGTTGGGCCGTACCATGCAGTGGGAACGGGGCCATAGTGGACTCTGTGAAGTCGTTCACAGGACACATTTTGTCTGTACGCTGTGACCTCACAGGGTTCCCCGGGTCTTTAAGGTTCAGCCCTGTTCTTGCCCTCATGTGACGGTGCAGTTTCGTCTGACCGGTTTGGTTGACCAGGTTTATCTTGGTGTTTCTGAAACTGTGTCAGTTTCCGTCTGGCGGCGAACTTTAAACAGAGAGCCGAGTGGTGTGAAGTGGCCCTTTGTCGCGCTACTTCTCTCCACTTTTCACAAGCCTGAGCAAATTGTTTACCTTCGGGTAGCAGTGACCCGAGTCAGAAATGCCTGTCCATTGTTCACACGATCAGAGGACGCTGCATTTCGAAACTCCAGAGTCTGAGAAATCCCTGCAGAATGCGGCTTATGCGAGGCATGCGGTCGCAGCTGATACACAGGCCTGATTTTCTGGTTTTGGTGAACTTGTTACACGGTAAGAGTTGTTGTCATAACACGAGGAAAGGAGGACAGTGTCAGTTTCCGTCACAGTTCAGACAGCGATGGGGATCCGCTGGAACGCGTGAATCATGCTTTCCTCCTCTCGGCTTCCTGCTGAGCTGTGAGTGGAGCGGGCGGCGCCAGCTCGCTCCTCAGAAGGCTCACAGCGCGGAGACGGCCTTACAGCGAAGCTCCACTCGGCCTGTCCGTAGTCGTTTCTGTACAGGATCATTTAAACCAGTTTCTTTTTCCGTTTTTGCTCGTCACCGACCCAAAAACATGCTTGTGTCTGAAGATTGAAGAGGACTTTTTAAAGTACTGTTAATTATTAAAAAATTATTAAACATTGTGAAACATTGTATCACTGCTGACGCAGCAAAACCTCGCATTTTTCAGTTTTTGACTTAATTAAGTTGGCTTGAAACTGACTCACACACTTACAGCCTAATGCACAGCAATAACGGCACAAATAATGAATTTAAGGTGGCACTGTTTTTAAGGTGGAACTCCATGCAAGGTAGCACTAAAATTAAGGTGGCACAAAATTTAAGGTGGTACTGAATTTAAGGTAGCATAGAATTTAAGGTGTAACTACATTTAAGGTAGCACTAAAATTAAGATGGCACTGAATTTAAGGCAGAGCTACAGTTGAGGTGGCACTGAATTTAAGGTGGAACTGTAATTAACATAGCACTAAAATTAAGGTGGCATAGAATTTAAGGTGGAACTTAACGCTAGCACGTAGCCATGCATCACCATCCACTTTGGATAGTGCATTTTAGCAACCATCAACAGTCTTACACCATTTTAATGTTTAAACGCAATTAGTTGGCTTTTTAAAGTTCATTCAGGAACTTTCCCTTTCTAGTTAATACTAAATTTCATGATGAAAATTACTTGGAAAATGTCTGGTTCCATTGATTCACACTAATTTCTCATTTTGGAGATTTTGCTCTGACAGCAGCGACAATTAGGCCTGATTTTGTAAGTTGTGTGTTTGTTTTGCCCCTTTTTGAATTACTTGTCATCTGTCACCAAACATACTGTACCCCTTGCTGCGTTATGTTGCCAGGCACGCTGCGTTCAGTGTTTAATGAATCTTTTTGGCCAAAAAATTTGGCCCAGGCCTTAATTTATAGAAAACAACCGCAGTTTAAACCGTGATCCCAATATTGGTCAGAAAAATCACCATTAGGTATTTTGGCAGAATCGTTCAGCCCCAGTCAGACTGCGCTGCGCTGCGCTGCGCTGTGTGAAACCCAGCAGTATTATGTGCCGTTCAGGTATCACACTTTCAGTATCACAGAAAGTACTGGAATGTGTCTAAACTTAGAAACAGTTTCACCACCAAGCTGAAATGAATGCATCTGAAAATATTCAGCATTTTGGTAATTAATTGTAATACCGAAATTACCAAATATCCATTTTTTAATAGATTTGTTAATTATTGAGTCAAACTTTGCTTGAGTAATTTATATGTTGTGATGTTATGATTTGAATTAGTAATCTGAATTATTGCTAATTGAACATGTAATTGATTAAGTGATAATTTTCTATAGAGTGGACTCTAACGCTGATTGATTATTGGCTGATGTTTTTGATTTTAGACCCCATGCACACCCACAGAAGTTACCATAGCGACTACAGCTCTTCCAGCGAGAGTCCATCAGTCACCTCGTCAGATCCAGACTACAAGCACGGTCAGTACTGCATCATCATCACGATCACCATCAATATCACCATCACCATCATCACCATCATCATCTCTCTAATCTCAATCTCACCATCAGGCTGCCTTAGCGAGTAACCTGTGAGCTCCCTGTGGTTTAAATTTTGCCTTCCAGCCCGAACCATGTAAACTACGTCCAGACGAACCTCTTAGTTTGATGGTGGGTAAATCATCATCTACCTGTAAACTTCAAGCCTGGAAGAAAGACCAGCAGGCATAACATTCTGACCACCTCCTTGTTTCTGCGCTCATTGTCCATTTTATCAGCTCCACTTACTATATAGGTGCACTTTGTAGTTCTACAGTTACAGACTGTAGTCCATCTGTTTCTCTGATACTTTGTTAGCCCCCTTTTACCCTGTTCTTCAGTGGTCAGGACCCCCATGGACCCCTCACAGAGCAGGTACTATTTGGGTGGTGGATCATTCTCAGCACTGCAGTAACACTGACGTGGTGGTGGTGGTGTGTTAGTGTGTGTTGTGCTGGTCTGAGTGGATCAGACACAGCAGTGCTGCTGGAGTTTTTAAACACCTCAGTGTCGCTGCTGGACTGAGAATAGTCCACCAACCAAAAATATCCAGCCAACAGCGTCCTGTGGGCAGCGTCCTGTGACCACTGATGAAGGACTAGAGGATGACCAACACAAACTGTGCAGCAGCAGATGAGCTATCGTCTCTGACTTTACATCTACAAGGTGGACCGACAAGGTAGGAGTGTCTAATAGAGTGGACAGTGAGTGGACACAGTGTTTAAAAACTCCAGCAGCACTGCTGTGTCTGATCCACTCATACCAGCACAACACACACTAACGCACCACCACCACGTCAGTGTCACTGCAGTGCTGAGAATGACCCACCATCCAAATAGTACCTGCTCTGTGAGGGTCCATGGGGGTCCTGACCACTGAAGAACAGGGTAAAAGGGGGCTAACAAAGTATCAGAGAAACAGATGGACTACAGTCTGTAACTGTAGAACTACAAAGTGCACCTATATAGTAAGTGGAGCTGATAAAATGGACAATGAGTGTAGAAACAAGGAGGTGGTCAGATTGTTATGCCTGATCGGTGTATCTCTGATTTCTTTAATTTTGCCCTTAATAAAGTAAGTTATTTTTCCTAACACGAGGAGTTTTGTTCCTGATCTCAGCTCACAGTGAGTCGTACTGTGTTCTAAACCACGTCTACAAACCTGCTCCACCTTAACGAGGAGCTGGCTGTGGGTGGTGAGAAGTTCTGGGGATGTATTTACAGAAAACGTTTGGGTGACCGTTGATTTGGACACCAAACAGCTGGAGTTAGCGTAAAAAACGTGTGAACTGTGGTCTGTGCAGAATCATTATCTTCATTATCTTCATTATCGCTGTGTTCCTTCTTCTGCGCTCACCTTCACGTCCACACATGTAGTGTCCTTGTTTTTCTGAGATGTGTGCTCAGACAGGTTCAGTTGGGTGTGCGCGCTCTTATAAATCTGTTTGCGTCCATCAGAGATTAAAAAGAGGAGTAACTATCAGAAATTAGGCAGCTGTGATTGTTTATCCTGCTGATCTCTTTTTACACTTTGTGTTGTAGGTTCTCTTATCTAGCGCTGAGCTTTCTAATCATTAGACTGTATGAGCTGCAGAGAGCAGCCAAATTAATAACTTCTGTGTTCTGTCTGTGTCGTTTTCTGTTAAAATGATCATCGTGTGCTGTTAAACAGTCTTTCAGTTTACTTTCGGCAGTAGTTGCATTGATTTACAAGCGGAGAGCAGCACAGTGTAAATAAAAACAGAATGCAGCGATGTGCAAATCATTTAAACCCTATATTTCATTGAAAATGGTACAAAGACAACATTTTGAATTTGATGCCAGCAACACATTCCAAAAAGTTGGAACAGGAGCAGCAAAAGAGGGGAGGGACCATCTGGTTTATCAGCGCACAGTTCAAAAGCCAGTATTCATGATGGTGTAGGGGGCATTAGAGCACATGGCATGGGTGACGTGCACATCTGTGAAGGCACCATTAATGCTGAACGATATATACATGTTTTGGCAACATATGCTGCCATCCAGACGACGTCTTTTTCAGGGAAGGCCTTGATTATTTCAGTAAGATAATGACAAACCACATTCTGCATGTATTACAGCAGCGTTGCTCCGTATTAAAAGAGTCCGAGTGATAAACTGACCTGCGTGCAGTCCAGACCTGTCACCACTGATAACATTTGGCGCATTATGAAATGAAAAATACGACAAATGAGCCCCTGAACTGATGAGCAGCTGAAATCCTGTATCAAACAAGAACAGAAAACATTTCACTCTCTAAACTACAGCAGTGCCTCCTCAGTTCACAAACACTTAAAAAAAGAAGAGGTGATGAAACACAGTGGTAAACAGGCCCCCGTCCCAACTTTTTTGGAACGTGTTGCTGGCATCAAATTCAAAATGGGCATTAATTTATCAAAAACGTGTTGTCTTTGTACTGTTTCCAATTAAACATAGGGTTTAAATGCTTTTCACATCACTGCATTCTGTTCTTTACATTTCGCACAGCATCCCAACTTTTTCGGAAGTTGGAGTTGTCATTATGTGCAAAGAAAAAACGTTTAATGTAATTTTAAGACAGTAACAGTATTTATTTATTTATTTATTTATTTATTTATCTATTTATTCCTAGCAGTGTTCTACCCCAGTACAACCTTTGGATCTTACTTGGACACCACATTCACCCTGACACTGACGCTATGATTACGTCAGTTTAAATATTATATGTTTGAACATACTGTGTGTTCTGTTTGTCATATTTTGTAACTTTTTTGTTATGAAAGTGACTCGTTTAGATTAATCAGAGCATTGATTAAATATTCTATGGATTAATTGATTACTAAATAATCACAATACAGTCATACCTGTAAACCTTACACTGTGCGAAGTATGTTGTATTGCAGCCCTTTATAACTACGACAAAATCCCTAAGACTTGCACTCTTTTGTGTTTGTTGATTTAGTATTTATGTACTGTAGATAACCACACTATTTTTGTTTATTAATAATTATATTTAACTAATAATTTCAGAGCATGTTATTCAACAGTATTAATTCTCTTGATTTCTTTAATAAAGTTGAGTTTTTGTCATCACTAAATCAACTTTGACGATTGCTAAATTTAGTATAATAAAAATGCTTGTTCTGATTGGTCCAAAGTGACTAAAATTTGCATATTTATCATTTTGATGAATATGTAACACTGGATTTTTTTTTATCCACAATCAAAATAGGATTAGGGCTGAATTTAATAGAAAAACTGACCTTTTAGCTGCACAGTTTGATGGATTTCTTCTCATCTGTGCTCAGAAACCACGTTGACTGAATGAGAATTTCAGACTGGGGGGTTAAACTGTCTCTGTTTTCATTCACAGCTAAAAGATCGGACGAGATGAGGAGGTTTGGATCTCAGGTGGGCCTGACGGAGAGCGACGGTGTGCCGCTCGGCGCTGGACAGAGGCACAGGTAATGACCCCCACACACTCAGACCCTCATTCTCAGCCTCACTGCCTGTTATCAGATCCACTGTTAGTTTATATTGTAACAGAAGAGCAGGGCTGTAAACAGTGATGTGGAAGAGAAAGCTTTGATTTCTGATATGATAACCGAGCAAACGCCCACTAAGAGACGACCAAAACACTGTTCAGCGCTATCAGATGGTGCATTTGAAACTGTGCTGGGTTGGATTTTCACTTCCTTCTAACATCTGATCCAGTTTTTCATTGCCGCGTTCGCATTTTAAAGGGAATCGTTTTCCGAATTTCTGCAGAATTCCGGGGTTGGGATGTAAACAAAGTGAGGCAGGGTGGTCTGATACAGAGACTCAGGACGCTCCAATACCTGCCTTGTTCGGTGCCGACCTATCAAACCTTTTCTTTAGTTCGGTTCATTTGGACAGGTGTGAACACTCCACTCATACTCCAGACAACAGGACTGCAGTCTGGCAAAGAGCTGGTTCTGCTCGCTGCTGGTGGGAATGCATACCGAGTCCGATGCTGAGTCCGGTACCATACTGAGCACCTCCTTAAAATGAAGTAGTTAGTGTAAATGAGTGTAACGAACCTTAACAGATAAACCATTAAATCTATCTGATTTTAATGAAGTGCGTTAGCTCGCTCTGCTACATTAGTGAAATGGTTCTTCAGATTGAAGGAGAATATGATGTATATGGTTCTATATAGAATCTTTTTGAAAATGGTTCTATATCGAACCATTTCCTTTTAGAACAGTGGCTGTACAGTAGTGTCAAGTATGTGTGTGTTTATGATGCAGGATAGTTTTCATCAGCGGTGAATCCAGTGCTGAGAATAAGTTCCTGCTGGCTTGTTTTCCAGCTGAATATTATTCTCTCACAATGTTAATGCGCATCTTTCTTCCCCTAACAGAGGAAAATTAACCAGCCCGCCCCATTAAAAAGCATCTGGCTCTCCAGCCAATCACAGCAGCTCCTAGTAAACTACATCATTGTACTGTAAGGTGTACTGCAATTACAATATGTAGCCGTATAATCACAAAAGCAGTGTTTTGTCCACAGTGGCAGTTTACAGTCACTGCCAAACGTACGTAAAACATCTATAGGTCACGTATTCCCAGCATTAGCGTGTAGCTGACAGCAGGTCAGGCTCTAGTTAACTTTCACCCCGGGGTTAAGTGTTTCTCACACCACGCAGATTTAGAAGCTGCTGTTTCTCACGAAAAAATGTTGCTCTAAATGTTGCCCAACTTGTGTTTGACCGGAGAAATGATTCACAGGACTGATAAGATTTTCCTTCTGTCACTCCATCATCGACAGCTGCTCTCAAACCTGAAAACCTACTCGGAAGTTCCTGTCTGAGAATAATTAAGCAATAGAACCCGAGAGGGAGTGTTATCATGAGATAACAGATCATCACAGCCGTGATGTTATTGGCGATAACACACTCCTCGAGTGTTCTATTGATTTAATACAACAGTTAAATAAATACAGTAATAAATTAATAAACTGGGCCGTGAACGCGGCGTTTAATATGTTTTAATGTTCGCAGTTCCTTCACCAAATTAGAGTTCCTTAACGAGCAGCTCGTTGCTACGTCAGAGTAACAAGCTCCGCCCACTCGCTGCACAGTCTGCTGTAAGCCTCGCCTTCTGAAGTACAGACTGAGCCATAAAACTGCCACAATATCAAGTTCAGCTCAGTTTTGTCAGTTTTTGCCAGATCAGTATTAATGTTGTTTTGTTCCAGCCAGTCTGTAAAGCATCTTACAGCCCATTTAGTTTGGCGAATGGTGTTGGGTTCATTTCTGGCTGATTCCAGGTTGTTTAGCTGTTCTTCTGTCACAGCTGCCGACTGAAAAGCTGCTCAGTGGTGATGACAGTTTGGGAATTTAGTGTCGTCTCATCTTCAGACTCTGACCAAATCGGCTGTCGGTCAAATGTGATCTTAAAAGTGTCCATTTTCTGTTTGTGCCAAAGTAAGAAGTAAAAACGGTCAAATGTCTTGAGCGTCTCCTACAGCTGTCAGAGTTGCTGCTTAGCAACAGCGTCTCAGCGGAGTGATACAGTGTTTGTGAAAAACCTGTGATGTTATGGTGAAATAATAGCACAGAACGCTGCTCAACCAATCAGCTCGCGTGGCCGGGGCTACCTGTTGTATAAAAGGGCTTCAACTCGCTGCTGGTTGGTCACTTTGAGCCAGAGTTGGTTCCTCTGTTCGGTTCCTGTCCTGGACAGTCATCACTGGTGGTAACGAAAGCGTGTTGTCATTATATATGAATCATTTCTGACTCGTAGCTTTTTGAAGCCAGTAGGGAAACTGAGGAAAGTGCAGAATCTGAAACTGTGCTGTTAGAAGAGGAGATATTTTATTATGATTTTAATTTGATGAAATGAATTCAGTCTCGATTTGCGAAAGAAAGCCATGCTTTACAGTTTTGCCTTGTTCGTCACTTCTTGACGTTGAAGACAGAAACCCGTCAGTACAGAATGTAAATGGGATGTAAATGTTACTCATTTACATTTATATTATTACTGAAGGGTTAAAGTCGAGTCACAGGTTATTTCTACGGCGCTTTTTACAGCAGGTGTCTTCACAAAGCAGCTTTCCAGAAAAATCCAGGTCTGAGTCCCGATGAGCTTCACCAGTGGAGACAAAGCCGAGTGGAGTAGCTGAAACTGATTAAGTCTGAATGTGCTGATGTAGTGCAGTGGGTTCAGTTTCTGCAGCTCTCCGTTCACTGCTAGCTTTCCCAGCTATACTCTTAAAATAGATGGTTCTTCAAGGGTTCTTTGGTGAAGACAGTGGTTCTGTATAGAACCGTGAACACTCAAAGAATCCTTTACGTGATTAAAGAGGTATTTGCATCATTTGGTTCTATATAACACCAAAAAGGTTTCTGCTATTGCTGCAGTGTCAAGCCTCACTCTTAAAAGATGGTTATTCAAGAGTTCTTTAATAAAGAAAATGGTTCTGAAAAGAACCATGAACTCTCAAAGAACCCTTTGCATGATTAAAAGGTTCTTTGCATCATAAAAGGGTTCTTAAGAATGTGTTGTACATGGTTCTCTGTAGAACCTTTTTGAAATGGTTTCTATACAGCACCCAGAAGAGTTCTTCTATTGTTACAACGTCAAGCTTGTACACTATAGAGGAACCCTTTTGGGTGCTATATAGAACCCTTTTCAAAAAGGTTCTGTATAGAATCATCTACAGCACACTGTCCATCAATCTGAAGAACCTTTTCATGATGCAGAGAACCCTTCAATCATGTAAAGGGTTCTTCGAGTGTTTGTGGTTCTTTCATGGCTGTGATAGACTGGCGTTGCCCTCTTCCTCATGGAAATGAATCTGTATCTCTAATAGTACATTCTTTAAAATTATGCTTTTCAAGGGTTCCTTAGTAAAGACAGTGGTTCTGTATAGAACCGTGAACACTCAGAGAACCCATTGCATGATTAAAGAGTCCTTTGCATCATGAAAGGATTCTTAAGTGTGTGTTGTGTAGGTGCTATATAGCACTCAAAAGGGTTCTTCTATTGTCACGATGTCAGGCTTCTATACTATAGAGGAACGCTTTTGGGTGCTGTATAGAACCTTTATGGAACATTTTTAAAAAGGTTCTGTATAGAATCATCTACAGCACACTGTCCATCAATCTGAAGAACCTTTTCATGATGCAGAGAACCCTTCAATCATGTAAAGGGTTCTTTGAGTGTCCATGGTTCTTTCATGGCTGCGATGTCAGGCTGCTATACTATAGAGGAACGCTTTTGGGTGCTATATAGAACCTTTATGGAACATTTTCAAAAAGGTTCTATATAGAACCATATACAACACGTTCTCCATCAATCTGAGGAATCATTTCATCATGCAAAGAACTATTTAAGCATGCAAAGGGTTCTTTGAGTGTTCATGGTTCTATATTGTCTTTACTAAAGAACCCTTGAAGAACATCTTTTTAAGAGCACATACTGAAGACAAAGATGAATATGAGAATACGAGGCTTTACTGGCTGATATCAGAGTTTTTACCCCATTAGCTGGCAGATCTGTGCTGTTGTGATTCAGTGCAGATGCTGAAGCTTTTGTTGCGAAGTTGCCTGCAAGTTGCAGCAGCTCCTGCTCGGGGCTTAAATCATTAAAGGAGAAGCTGCTCTGAGACCAGTCAGTCCTGACCTGCGTCATTCTCCCCTCCACGCCTGCCTTTGGCTTCCGGTACTCCCTCACAGCTCCCTCTAGTGGTGGTGTCCTAGACTGGAGGTTGGAAGGTGCTGCTGGGCACTGTTGCCATGTGTCGGCTCTGTGAGTGAAGTTAATGAGTTCTAGACTGTGTAGCTGTTCTCCGGTTCACGCTACAGAAACTCACACTGCCTGAGGCTGCTGACTGGCCTTCTGCGGTGGTCACATGCCCACCGGTTAAGCTGCTACTAATCACAGCATTACGGTTTTCCTAAAGAGATCTAAACATTGCTGTGTGATCTCTCAGCTGATTAATGTGGACATTATTTCTTTTAAAAGCTGCTCAAAAAAGCCAAACGCACTTCAAACAGTTCCTTTATTTCTGACTGAGAAGTTAATGAGTAGAAGTCGTGGCCTTAGGCAGCGACTGCTGATTAAAAATCAGAATTTAATCTGCTTTAATTACATGCGCCACAACCTTTCCCAATCTGCAAGCACTTTAAAGGGAAATTCCACCCATTCTTTCAAACTTTCTGCATACTTGAATCGTCAAGGTGTAAACCAAGTCATTCAGAGTGGTTTAATGTTAATATGAACGTTGTTTCTTTTGAAAGCTGTACAAAAAAGTTCTACTTCAGTTTTGATTTAAAATCAGAATTTAGACTGCTTTAATTAATCGCATCATAGCCTCCGTTACTAAAGCCCTTAATAGTGGAATTCCACCCATTTTTCAAACATTTCAGTATTCAAAAGTGGTTCAGGGTGGTTTGGTTTCTAGAGAAACTTACCGAGTCAGAACTGTTCACAGTGGTGGTGATAGGAACCAGACGTCCACCTCTAAAAGCTCCCTCACAGAAAGTTCCTACATGAAATGGTTATGAATTCACTGCCTGATGACTGAGACACTGTTTTATGATAGTTTAGAGAACTTAAACTCCATTCATGGTGGAGGGATACATGCAGGGCACTGTGAGGCAAAATAGTCCCCAAAGAAAACTTATTATTTCAGATTTTCCACTATTTTCCATCATCAACATTCCATATAAACTCAGAAGACTCGTGTAGGTTCACTGGTGGTTCTGGATAGTAAATAAAATGTCTATATCTGTGTTGTAGTCATGGCGACCCCTGGTTCCTATCACCACCACTGTAAAGACATCTGAGTCTGTACAATCAACCATTTCATAGAAGCATTTTCCCCTTTAAATTCAGCATAAATGGTAAATTAACTCATATTCCGTCGATACTCTGATGCGTTTGTGATGGAAGCTCTGTGTCAGTGAGGCTCTCTGAGCTACCTAGACATTTTCTGGTTCACTGGTTTACAGTGATGTCATCAAAAATCAGAAGATGTTCAGCAGCGGAGAAGAAGCCATTACATTTTTAATGGAAGACAAGGAGACAAGAACTTAGTCTTGTTTAATATGACGTAAAATGACTTTAAAGGGAGTTTTGAACATTTTGCATAACTTAGAATTGATAAAAAGGTGTATACGGATATTTTTAAGTGTATAAATCTAAGTAGAGCAGGTTTTATGTGCTCTTTGCAGAGACGTTTTAGACATCCAGACTCTTTCACATTTGATGACTGTGGTAGTTCACCTTGGAGCCAGAGCACATGGGATGCGATCAGTTCCCGTGTGGGTGATATTTATATGCTTTAAATCCCATTTGTGCTTTTTAGCTTCTCAGTAGAACTAGAACCGGCTCTAGGGCCTTAATCAGTGCCCCTGAGGACTGTTACCATTGAGTTCTGTGTTCTGTGTTGAGCTCGTCCCACTTTTCTCTACTTTAATGTGGTGTAAAAGTACATAATATGCGCTGCTCTGTGCACACTGTGTACATGTACACTGCAAATGTGCACATCTTCAGTATTTATTACTGTACAGAACAATGTTTGCAGATCTTTCATGCAATTAGACATATGTTTTGTTCTGCTCTTTATATTGTAGATGCTCCCCTTTGGTGACATCAGGCGACATGAATTGCAATTTCGTTGTTTTGCGGATGATGTGCAGATCTGTATCGCTGCTGTCGGAAGAAAACCTCGTATCTCCATTTTTGTTGTTTTTTCAGTTTTTGACATAATTTAAAAAATGCCTGTTGCTCTTTACATTGTGTGTAAATTTCATGATGAATGGCCCAAAAGAAACGGCCCAAAACGACTTGGAAAAAACTCTGGTTCCATTGACTTACATTAAAAGTAAAGTAGGTTTTTTCCTTCTCCTGTAAAGTTACCCTTTTGGAGATATGAGGTTTTCTTCCAACAACAGCGATATATATACTATAAATACCATCTCGCAGTTTACCGCCCTCAGTTTTGATGAATTGTTTAGCTGGTGTGAGGACGTGGATGATTGAGAACTTCCTGAGTCTGAATAGTAACAAGTCGGAGGCCATATTAATTGCCTCTCCAGCTACAACCCGCCCAGCTAGTCGTAGAACCCACCTTTTCCAGCTGGTTTTTGGGTGAACCAGAATTGTGATTTTTGTAAATTATGTGTAGCGTTTTTGCATATTTGTACATGCTATTTTTTTTTTTTTGTTATTTTTATGGTACAGTGTGCTTGGATGTCTTGAATGGCGCTTATCAAATAAAATTTTATTATTATTATTATTATTAAATTGAAGGTTTTAGTAACCAAAGGTTATAATTAAACACTCGTTATTTGAAGCCAAAGCAAGCCTGACGTTGCTACGAGCTGCAAGAAAGTGGCATTGCTCTGAATGACTATTAATAAAAATGTCATTTTACTGTTAAAATGGTGGTTCAGGTGAGTTAAACTATGAAAATTATGAAAGCGTAATGCTACATGCTTCTATAAACGCTTCCAAAGGCGTTTATGAAAGACACTTATAGCTGAACTCCGCTGTATCAGTGGAAAACACCTTGTTTTTTTTTGTTTTTTTTGGAGGGGGGTTTAATGTTCTTGGCAATTGACGATGTTGTGGTTCTGATCTGTTCCTTTGTGTCCTCTGAGTGCAGACTGTATGATCGTGGGCAGGAGGAGCTGATTGGGACGGACCTGCTGATGCACAGGCCAGACGAGATCCGCAGGCTTCAGGCCCGTCTGTCTCGGGCCAGCCTTTATCCCAGCGACGACCCCCGCGCTTCCATCGCCGACCTGCGGGAACCGCTACGGACCAACCTGCTGGACACGGGTGGCCTGCAGCCTCGCAAAGCCAAAGTCAGTAATTCATATGGATAGACGCTGATATGTTTGTTTGTGTTGTATATAAAGTGTTAAGATTAACTCAGTGTGTGAGGTGTAAACTGAGAGATTCAGAGAGGTTTGGTGTGAAATGGTTCAGATGTCTTTACAGTGGTGGTGATAGGAACCAGGGGTTGCCATGACTACAACACAGATATAGACATTTTATTTACTATCCAGAACCACCAGTGAACCTACACGAGTCTTCTGAGTTTATATGGAATGTTGATGATGGAAAATAGTGGAAAATCTGAAATAATAAGTTTTCTTTGGGGACTATTTTGCCTCACAGCGCCCTGCATGTATCCCTCCACCATGAATGGAGTTTAAGTTCTCTAAACTATCATAAAACAGTGTCTCAGTCATCAGGCAGTGAATTCATAACCATTTCATGTAGGAACTTTCTGTGAGGGAGCTTTTAGAGGTGGACGTCTGGTTCCTATCACCACCACTGTGAACAGTTCTGAGTTTATCTAGAACAGAGAACCGCTCTGAATACATCTTAATAATTTAATCATATATAAATGTTGAAAAATCAGTGCACTTCTCGTCAGGTGCACCCATTACTGATACAAGTGTTGAGTTGCGCACAGCTTGTATAATCTCTAGAAGTCCCTAGAAAAGCACCAATAGAATGAGACGCTCTGGATCAGCTGCACATGACCCTAAGGTCTCCATGTCCAGTGCCAAGCGTGGGCTAGAGGGGTTTAAAGCCCCCCAGCATTGGGCTGTGGAGCAGTGGAACGGTGTTCTCTGGAGTGATGGAGCTCCATCCAATACCTTTAGTTGGAGTGATCCAGAACTGACCATCCAACATCAGTACCTGACCTCACTAATGCTCAATCAAATCTTCACAGCAGTGTTCAACATCTAGTGTAAAGCCAAAAGAGTAGAGGCTGTTACTGCAGCACAGACTCACTATTAACACCTTCATTCCAGAAGAAACTCCTCAGACTTTCATATTTAGTTATTAATCTTCAGTAACCAGTATGAATTATTCAGTAACCGCTGTAAGTTGTGTAGTGTGGGCGTATATACAGACCCTCGGAGTGTACGTGGGGAATTAAAGATGATATTAGCTTCTGTACAGTTGTTTTCTGTCTGAGCTGCTCTCTGTTTAACTGCACTGTCCCTCTCTCTGCAGAACGTCTTCGGTCCAGAGTTTGTGAAGATGGCCAGTGAACCCTGTGTGGTTTTGAATGTCCCCGCCTCCATCATGGTAAGACCTGCCTGCTTAAATTTAAATAACTTTACATGTCTTGTCCTTTATGCTCTTGACAAATCCACTGCTCACATCTACATTTCATGGTTTATTCGTTCCAGTATGTTAAACTCAATGAGTAAAAAGAAATTGTATACTGAAATTTGCAGATCAGCGTGTTCTCTGTAGAGGAACTGTTTACCTGTGTTAACTTGTTTACTCTTAGAAAATCAACAACAACACGGAATTTGACAAACGTTTGCATATGACTGTATACATTACCACTGAAAGGTTTGGTATCAGTGATCTGTTTTGCTCACCTTTATAAAGCCTGTAACTGGAAACTCTGTGCTGTCTTGGCCAGGTCTGCCTTCAAAAAGGGACTTTAATCTCAAGGGTCTGTCTGGTTAAATAACGGTTAAATTAATAAAATAGCAAATATTGTTGTTGCAGTAGACAGTAACGTACCGCAGCCTGTTTAGCGCTGCATTGTGTCTCTGTGAGTGTTTAATAATGCATTTAGTAATCCAAAACTGCAGAAAATCAGACTGTGTCAGTAACTGGTTCAGTGTGTTTACGCTTAATAATCTGATAACTGCAGAAAATCAGACTGTGTCAGTAACTGGTTCAGAGTGTTTACACTTAACAATCTGATAACTGCAGAAAATCAGACTGTGTCAGTAACTGGTTCAGTGTGTTTACGCTTAATAATCTGATAACTGCAGAAAATCAGATTGTGTCAGTAACTGGTTCAGTGTGTTTACGCTTAATAATCTGATAACTGCAGAAAATCAGACTGTGTCAGTAACTGGTTCAGTGTGTTTACGCTTAATAATCTGATAACTGCAGAAAATCAGATTGTGTCAGTAACTGGTTCAGTGTGTTTACACTTAATAATCTGATCAGAAAATCAGATTGTGTCAGTAACTGGTTCAGTGTGTTTACGCTTAATAATCTGATAACTGCAGAAAATCAGATTGTGTCAGTAACTGGTTCAGTGTGTTTACACTTAATAATCTGATCAGAAAATCAGATTGTGTCAGTAACTGGTTCAGCGTGTTTACATTTAATAATCTGATCAGAAAATCAGATTGTGTCAGTAACTGGTTCAGCGTGTTTACACTTAATAATCTGATCAGAAAATCAGATAGTGATTATGAAGTGCATGTAAACACACTCAGTGTCTCCGTGTGTTTGTGTCTGTAGAATAAGCGAGGGAAGGTGGAGGAGAGCCAGAGGAAGGTGGGCGTGGTGCTGCTGAACGGTCAGAAGCTGGAGGTGAGCTGTGATGTGAAGGCCGTGTGTAAAGACGTGCTGGACATGGTCATCGCTCACGTGGGCCTGGTGGAACATCACCTGTTCAGCCTGGCCTTCCTCAGAGGTGAGACACAAATCTCTACAACCTCAGCAACCAGATACTGGTTTGTTCAGAGTTTCTCCATCTGTATAACTGTAGAGGTGGGCGATACGGCAAAATGCAATATCACGATACTTCAGGCAGTTTATGATACACGATGTATTACAATATTTATGTTTTCTGACATCTGATGAGTTGGAACAGACAAACTATATTCACACACAGGTTTTCAAGTGTGGACGGTTAGCTAACCATACTCAGGGCCACAGAACTGGTCAGTGGGCTGAAGTATTGATTTGGCTGTTCACTGGTTGGTTCTACGTTCATGTCGAAATTGTGCTGAAATTGCATCCTACTGCGTTGTTTCAAGGCTGAACGTGAAAGGGCTGGGGGAGGTTTATACATCATGTTTAACACTCCAACGAATACGAAACAGTGGATTAGCAGCTTTGAAACACAGTTTGTTTAAAACTGAGTTGTTAATCTAAGTTTACATCGTCAGCTAAGCTACATTAGCAGACTCCTTCCAGCTGTGCGCCTTCACACCACTGCTTTTTTCCCCAGGGTGACCTCATTCATTTCACACATTGTTTATATGAATTCATTTTTAAGAATGTTTCATCATTTAATGTCTGTTTTTATGCACTTACATTTCATAAAACTTAAAATAAAATCCAGGAAAACACTACGGAAAACGTACGTATAAGAGTGTTGGCTTAGTTATGGCCAAAAAAACGTATTTTGGTTGCTAGACAGATTTTGGAGATTCCAACCAATCATTACATCCCGTATGACTTTGGGTGTTTCTGCAATAACTAGTGTTGTACAAACTCCTGCAGTCCTACATTGTGTAGGTTTTCCTCATGAAGAGTGAAAACGGCTTATACTTCATTTATGGGCTGTATGTACTGTAGGGGTGAATGTTGTGTTTTGAAACTTCAACCATGTTTACATGCTGCAGCAAACTGCTTTATTTTAATAAACAATTTTTTTCTGTTATGTGGGCCCTTTGAAGTTCGTATAATCTGTCTGTTAAACGTGTAATAATGCAGTAATAATGCAGTAATAATAGTATTGCTGAGGTTAGAGAGGTTTTGTTTGCTGCTGTTGTTCTTGATTGTTGGATTCATACAGATATGACTTCTTCTTTTGTGATGAAGGTTCTTTTTAGGTCTCACTCATTAGCAACCAGGAAGCCGTCAGCCGGTTTTCAAAGCGAGCTGATCACTCATTTGTTCGTTTCTGCCTTTCAGATGACGAGTTCTTCTTCATCGACTCGGACACCAAACTGTCGAAGGTGGCGCCCGACGGCTGGAAGGAGGATCCCAAGAAGAAGAAAACCGACGTCAGCTTCAACTTGTTTCTGCGCATCAGGTTCTTCCACGACGACGTGAACTTCATCCAGTGAGTAATACGAGAGCGTTCGAGCCTGCGGCACCTGCCGGAACACGCTCGATATTTCTGATCCTCTGACTCGGCACTAGATTGCCTCGGGGCTAATCAGGGTGAGCACGCTGTGATTCAGGTTTACAGGATACCATCCTGCATAACAGCGTTGGGGGAACGCTTCAGCACTTCAGTCTGATTTCTAACTGACACTCCTGTCTCTCTGCCCTAACTTAAAAAAACAGAAAACAAGCTGCAGAAAACGGGGGATGGGCTACTGATGGGCGTTTCAGACCAGGACTGCAGCAAATATTCAATAAAACTCTTTAAAACTCTGCGATGTTTGAAAAGGACAAAGCGATTAGAGGAACCAAAACTTTCACCTGTTTTTATGAAACCTCACACTTCAGTGCGTCAGTTTTTATCAGTCGGAGTGGAAACAAAGCTGTGTTTATGAAGCTGAACGCCAGCCGGTCAGCAGTGGCAGCGCAAAGACAGAGATTTATGGTTCGAATTGTTTTTGTTTGTTTTATTTTATTTTATTGACACCGTCTTTTCCTGCGAAATCGGTGTACTAATTTGTGAGTACCAATTTGTGTCTAATCAGAGTCTGAGCTCCCATGAGCGTCACAAAAAAAAGCTCCCTAAGAGTGAGAGGAAGAACCGCTGAGAGGAACCAAGACTCAAAAGGGGAACCTTTTATTGTACATATTGAAAATAGAGTCATTGCACAAAACTATTTAGATGGACCTGATGACTGTTAGAGGCCGAGGCAGGTTAATCTAATGTCATTTTGTGCTAATTGGTGCTAATTGCTGTGACTGTAATTGTTTATCAGTGATGTTTTTGCATTACCTCATACAAAAAGCTTATCAACAGTAAATAATGGTGATATGAATTAAAAATTTTATTTAATTTTGAGCTTTTCTTTGCTTCACTAGTAGAGGATGGAGGTCAGACTTCAGCATGGGATGTTTAACATTAGATAGAAACTGATTTTTATATAAAAATCTTAATATGCTTTTTGATTTTTTTTATTATTTCATGATTATTGGAATATTTTGAAAATATTCACAGCACACTTACTCTGGATTATTAGTAGTGTATTTCAAATCACTGGATTTTATTTTATTTTACTATAACCTGATGAGTTGGGCTGATATCAGCAGAAAATGCTGGATCGGATATCTGGCCAAAAAATTGGATCCAATAATAAGTCATGTAATCACGTCAGTAGTTCCAGTATAGTATATAAATATATATATATCATAGAAATATTTAATTTCACGCGTTTGGGCTGATGCTCGAGGTTGCAGTATAGATTTTGGAAAATAAAGCGGTTTTGTGCGATGTCTACTAACAGCCCTTAGATTTGTAGCAGTCGTTGGTTAAACCTTCACATTTCTACCCTGTTTGTACTGAACGATCCTCCTTCTGTTTCCCACAAGGCACTTCATGACCAAACACCAGTACTACTTACAGCTGCGGAAGGATATTTTGGAGGAGCGGCTGCGCTGTGACATGGAGAATGCGATGATCTTGGCCTCTCTGGCACTGCAGGCAGAGTTTGGTGACTACCAGTCTGAGGTAACCCCCCTCACCATTAACGGGGACCTGTTATCCTCAGCTTTAACCCGTAATTTCATTTTTAGGCTCTACTGTAATCAATTTACAGCTTCAGTGTTCCAAAAGCACATTTTCCTCACACTGTTCATCTCTGTTCACCCTCTGTCTGAAGCGCTCTGTTAGAGCACCTGTGTATGTAAGCCACGCATCCCGATGAGCCCAGTGTGCTCTGATTGGTCATCTTTTCCACTCTGATCTGATAAGTCAACCCGGTTCTGCCCCCCATGTTCCGCCCCTGTCCTACAGTCCTTCTAGTCCTCAGTTCAGTGTCTGCAGACTCGCTCCCTCTATGTGCATCTATAAAACCGGTTTACTGCAGAAAAGTAGTTTGTTTGGAATTTACATGTGATGATGGTCAAAGCTTTGTAACTTATCGGTTTTTGTGTTTGTTTGTTTACACCATTTGAACATGCCAGCTGTCTTTTACATTGTGTGAGCGCTCCAATAGTTTTAATATTTCTGAAGAACATGTAAACAGAGTCATTCAGAGTGGTTTGGTGTGAAACACTCTGTTCTAGATAAACTTACCGAGTCAGAACTGTTCACAGTGGTGGTGATAGGAACCAGACGTCCACCTCTAAAAGCTCCCTCACAGAAAGTTCCTACATGAAATGGTTATGAATTCACTGCCTGATGACTGAGACACTGTTTTATGGTAGTTTAGAGAATTTAAACTCCATTCATGGTGGAGGGATACATGCAGGGCGCTGTGAGGCAAAATAGTCCCCAAAGAAAACGTATTATTTCAGATTTTCCACTATTTTCCATCATCAACATTCCATATAAACTCAGAAGACTCGTGTAGGTTCTCTGGTGGTTCTGGATAGTCTTTACGTCTTTATGTTGAATCATTCCACAACAGTGACTTTGTTTACCTCTTTATAATTGAACTACAGAGCAAGTCATTGAAATCTACTCACAGTTTCAGTAGTTTAGAAGATTTTTATAAGGTTTAATGGGGTTCTTCTCCTGCTCTCTCTCAGCTCCATGGAAAGACGTATTTCCGGACGGAGCATTACCTGCCTGCCTATGTGATGGATAAGCTGGACCAGAGCTCCATTAAGGAGGAGCTTTCCAAACTACACAGCACGTATTACGGCGCCAAAGAGGACGAGGCTGAATATGAGTTCCTCAAGGTGCGTATGCTCTGCTGCTGCACCAGACCAAAGGTTTGAACACCTCTGAGCTCGTTTACCTGTTTGATTTTCTCAGTGAAAACAAGTTAACGCATCCTCTACAGGGAACAAACGTAAAAGTGCCACAGAGCTTTATTCAGTGTTTTAAACAGTTCTCTGATGTTACAAAGAAGGTCTGTGTCTTTGTTTAGGGTGAAAAATGCCCTGATGTGGTTTTACACGCCCAGTTACAGCCCTGTGATTTGGCCCTAGAATGAAACAAGCTGTTCTCCTTTTTTAGGGACTCATGAATAATCTGCTCTGATTGGCTGGTTTACAGTGAGGCTTTGTGACGGCTCACGCAGAAGCAACATGTGAAAATAAACACAGCAGGAAATAAAATGAACCTCTGTGTAAATCAGCTCCTCATACTGTTCTGTTAGCTATGCTAGTTACTGTGAGCGTGCTAGTAGCTAACGTTAGCTACACGAGCTACTCGCTTTCAATCTCAACAACAACACAAAGTGAATTAAAGCTGTTATTTTACTATGAAGCTCTCAGTTTAGATGATCAGCTTCATCAGACAGTGATACAGTCTCTCAGCAGGGCTGCTTACAGGCTGCTGTTGGGGTTGTGGTGCTAATAAAGGTGGAGCTGCGTCTCTTCAGGGTCAAACGCTGAGCGAAGCTGCTCGATGCTGTCTGAGCTCTGAGAAACTCTCTGGAGTGAAATGAGCAGAGAAACTAACAGCTCTGAGTTAAAGCTGTCGGGATCCTGTTAGAGATGCGGGAGCTGAAGTTCCTGTTCAACAGCTTGGTTTGAGAATTTTCAGTTCCACCTTAAATGGAGCTGCAGTTACATTCTGGTGCCTGTACAAGCTGCAGCATTTAAGGTGGAACATTCGATGAAGAAGCTGTGAACAGGAAGCCCTTCAGCCTGGATTAAAGATGATCTTCAGCTGACAGTTCGGTTCTTGTGAAGGGAATGAAAAGTGCTGACGTTCCTTCACAGCCTGGAGCTGCATTTCTGCACTCAGTCGGCCTTTTTCATTGCTGCTGCTCTGTTGTTGTCGTTGTTTCGCTGGACTAGAACGTGGGCCGGTGTATGTAAATTTAGGGCATAAATAAGAGTCCAGACTGTTACATAACAGTTCAGGATTTTGGAATCGGCGCCTTTTACTGCCTCTTCTACAAACGCAGGATCTGTATCTGAAGGAGGAGACAGCAGAGTTTGGGGTTCACAGTGTCTCAGTTCCATGTACTGAACTCTCCTTAATCAGTGATTCCAGTGCAAATCCTATGACACTATACAACATACTGGGGAAAAAATTAACATAAGCTGTGGCCTGTGCAGAAGTTATACCACATTTTATATCTTATTATTTTCCAATGTGTTAAACTCTGCAAATAAATAGAAACTGTGCACTAAAATATGTAGACAAAATTCCATATTTAAAGAAAATAAACAGTAACTGTGCATTAGGATGTGCAGGTTCTGCGTTCATTTCAAAAATAAAAAAAAACATAATTTGATCAGTGGTGCACAAACTTTTGAATATGACTGTATAAATAGTAAATTTCCATTAATGTGTAATTTACATTATCAGTAAAAATTATAGAATTTATAGGGGTTTATTCCACTTTTGACCAAGTGAAAAAATGTATAATATTTTTAGTTGTTACTACAGTCTTGGATAAATATGCCATTATTCTGTTTTATATTAAATTTAATGAAAATATGATTTTATGTGTGTACAGATGTTGTGCTTGCTAGTCATGTACTGAGTTCTGCTCAAAATTAGCTATAATGGTAAAATTGTGCACTGAAACTGAAAAACATTAGTTTAAGTTTATACGTGATTATATGATGTCTGTGATTAAAATGGTAGTTGGAGCGCAGAAGAATAAACAGTTTGAACTTCTCATTTAAGAAAACAGCCTCAAGCTGATCTGAGTCAGTCTGAGCTCAGATTTACTGAAGTCTTTCGTTCCCCCGAGATTTTTAGCAGCTATTTGTAGCATCAGTGATGAAAGCCAGATCTCTGCGCTGCGTCCAGATGTACGTTTTTGGCTGATGTTCTTCTGGACAGAAACTCCAGCTTGGCCAGACTTGTAGCTCGGGGCAGGGAACCGAGAGGAACCCAGAATCTCAGCTGTGTGTTTTTCCCTCTTAAACACAGCACAGCTGCAGCGCGTCGACAGATTCTCACTGATACGTCTAACATGCGCACGGCTAATGACCAATTATATACTCAGTTATATTTGACGTTTCATACTTTATCACCTGTTATTAGAAGCTGATTCACAGGCTGTTTCTATTACAGCGTCTTTAAGACTCACTTACTTAGGTGAACATTTTTCAAATGCCTGTATCTGCGAATAAGAAGCCAACATGAGTTTGTTCATTTATTTAATTAATTAATTGTATTGTTTAATGAAATACTATTTAAAGTATCGTAGTATACCGATCTACTGAATCAGTTCAAACTGCACTCACACAGTAAAAAACCTAATTTAAAAAACAGTGAAGTTTTCAGATCTTAGATAATCACATGAATTATGTTCTGAAACCCAGGACATTAATAGAGATAGTAATAAGCTAAATGTATATAAAATCATCATTTAGCATTTTTAGGGTACTTTCTATTGGGAGGAGAAAATAATAAATAATGAAAATAATATATTATTTTGTTTTATTTTCATTTTATTTTTTAATTTCTTTTAAAGTGAAGTTGAAAGATTTAGATTTAATACAAATTTTTAATTAAAAAATTCTTATTTTATAACCAAATTATTTTAATGATGAAAGTGTTTGATGTAGTATGTAAACACTGTTAAAGTTTCAAAATACCATTATATTTACAGTATGTAGAGTCCACAAGTGGAAACTAAGACACAAAAAAGAGCCCATTTTCAATTCACTGTAATGTCATGAAAAAACAAATAATTGGCATATACTGCAGTTTAGCCCCGCCCACTCTCACTGAGGTTATAAGGAGTCAGCCTGTTTAATTCTAGTTGATAAAAATTGGAAAATGATCGTGTAAAAATGAATTATACTATTTTTGGTGCCATAAACTTTATAACTGAAGCTCAGGGAGTAAAACACACAGAAAAATGCAAATAAAATACGCAATAAAAACAGGACGGGCCGTGTAAATTAGTAAAATACACACAGAGAGATGCTGATTCGCTGATGAATAAAAGGCTTTACGTTTTTAACTGAAAAATAAGAGATAATAAAATATGAAGGACTGTATTTGAGGCTCTCTGGATTGAAGTGTGTGTGAGATGATTAAGTAGTGCTGGTGTTTGTGTGTGAAGGTGAGTCAGCGGCTGACCGAGTACGGCGTTCACTTCCACCGCGTCCTGCCGGAGAAGCGCTCTCAGACTGGCATCCTGCTGGGCGTCTACTCCAAAGGCGTCCTCATCTTCGAGGTCCTGAATGGAAATCGGACTCCGGTGCTGAGGTTTCCCTGGAGAGACACCAAGAAGATCTCCTTCACGGTAAGACCTGAGAGCGTCTGCACGCTGCTTTACTGATCTATCGGACCTGAACGCACGACTCTAGATCCTGAGTATGGACTGAGATCTGTGAGGTTTCACAGCACTAGTGTGTTAATATCAGCGTAATCGAATGTGATAAATACAAATAATTTCATTTTGAAATAAAGTGCTCATAAAAAACTTTACCCTTTTAGCTTCACACAGTCTGTGTTTGTGTTACAGAAGAAGAAGATCTGCCTGCAGAACACGTCAGATGGGATCAAACATCTGTTCCAGACGGACAGCCAGAAGACCTGCCAGTACCTGCTGCAGCAGTGCACCGCCCAGCACAAGTTCCACCT